TGGGGAAATAAATTTTTTGGGACTGGCAACGCTGTCCGGTCAGTAATGCATTAGCACTGACCGGTAGTGCATGTTTTCTGTCGGCGCACCAAACTGAAGCATTATAAAATACGTTTACAACGCGAGTGCGGTTTTGAAAATGAGTGAACCTGTGCCAGGACCTTCGGGATGTAGTACCGCAAAAACAGTAAAACAGCGGAAATCTTCAGCTCCCTTTAGCATAGAGGAGTTTGAAGAGATATTATGCGACTCGGATTATGATGACGACGACCCGACTTTTTCTTTACGTGAGGAAGCGAGAAAATCTGGCTGGAGTGACTCTGATGACGAAGAAGAATCTGACGAAGGGCAAGCTGAAGAGGAGGAGCTGGATTCGACAGTATCAACTGCTGATACGACCCAAATTTCGAAAGATGACGATCCCCTTGTGCAACCTCAACAGCAGCACCGGCAGATCCTAGGCAACAAACAGGTACATCACCGATTATTACTTGGTCATATAATCCTCCGGTACTAACGCGTATCACCTTTTCAAATATCATAAAAATGCTCATATTGTTCATGTTTTGTGCCATTAGCTTAAAAATGAGGCTCCAGAGAATGTACAGAAAATTCATGTTACCTTTCCGACTCGTGGCCACAGTTTTCTTCCAGCTGATCGAGCTTTAGGCCGTGTGGAGAAGCGCTTGGAAAAAACTGATACCGCCATTTTGAGCGAAGAGTATGCTTCTATTTACGAGGAGTTTGGCTCTGTACAGAAATTCTGACAAGACTGGGTGATATACGATATCAAAAGCCTTGAAATGATTTATCAAAAAATAAAAGGAATCAGCCAAACCAAACGCGTCATTATTAAGAAAATCAAAACAAGGGACCGGCATACTTCAACCAAAATAAAATGCTGCGCCAACTATAGGTTCGACAGTGGAACAGAAACTTTTAGAAGCATTGTAAAAAAAAATAAAAATGATTTTCTTCAGACTCATCCCCAAATCCCACTATCTCATTCCGTGACTGAAGAGAAAAAAAAGATGTCCTTCATTTATTGCAAACCTACTTTGGACACAATTGGAAAGAGGTTCCTGATCTTCATTGGTATATTAATGCTCTTCAACGCAAAGTTACTAGTGATCCCGATCCAGAATCCCACAACTACTATGATGGCGAGTGTGATTGCTTGGAGGATGAACCAAAAAATGTTCACATTAAATTTTTTGACTCCTCATTTTTTTTTTATTTTAGTAGGTACTATTAAATATTTTTTATTTCTAAGAAATGACCTAATTCGGACTATACTTCAAGGTCAAGCACATGGGAAAAGAGGTCCAGGACGGAGAAGAATATCCTGGCTGCATAACCTGCGAAAATGGTTTAACTTAACCATTACCGGACTTTAGGGCAGCAGTCAACAAAGTCAGAATAGCCATGTTAGTGTCCAACATCCGCAACGGATAGGCACCATAAGTTGTTAGTTTGACAAAAGTTAATATTTCCCATCTTTTTTTACAAAATGCGATATCTCCAACAGACACATGGCTATATTTTGTTAATGTAAATCAAGAAAAATAATTTTAATTAACGTTTTATTTCTCTAAATCTAACCTCAGTTGATTACGTTCTCTGAAATTTCTGGAAAAGTGGATTTATGCAGTTTTGTAAAAAAGCTCCTCATTTGAATTATACTAACAGCATTATTGGACGTTACGCCAGCCCATTCCCTTCCAACTCAGAAATATATTAAAAACTTGGCAATGAGTGGCTTTTAAACTATTGTCAAAGATATATTTTTTGTGAATCAAAAAGCATTTACGTACCTACTAAGTTTAAGGTTTGTTTATTTCCACTTATCTGAAAATAACCAACACTTTTATAGCAAATGTTTTATTTGAGCATTAACAATATCCTTGACGAGCAGTTTATTACGTTAATATAAAAACAGATGATGTAAGTATTTTAATAAACTTCGTTAAATTTTAGAAAATAGTGGTTTTTAGGATCTTATTTATTCTATTAGTACCATTATTTTATTTATCAAATTAATTTACTAATCAAAAATACATTTACCATGATAATGTTGCAAAACTTGGCGACGCATCTCGCTAAAACTATGGAAACGGGCGTGTTTAACACACTCTCCATATTCCCGAATGATTTCCCAGGAACACACAAGTTAATTTCCCGGTTAATATCCGCTTAGATAATGTCCATACGGTACGCAAAGATTTAATATTGCGATGTTATTGAAACGACCGAGAATCCAAGAGCTGCTTTAGAAATCGAGTATCAGGCATTATCTACACATATTGTTGCGAGGTTTGGTCGTGTGCACCTGATGAGGGCTATTAGAGAAATTAGGTCAGGAAATGTTTGTAAAATTGGTCTGCATGCTTTTACATTCTTGTACCCACATTAATGTTTAAAAATTTAATAAGTTCTAATAATATAATCATACAGAGATGCTTGTATGGACCTTATAAACATAAAATGGAAAATGCTGAAAAATTATTAAAATTTTATGTTTGTAATATAGATACCATATTGATAAAGATAGTTTTGTAAGTCAAGTTAAAGCAGTTGGATCAGATGGTATTACTTGTAGAATAGTAGATAGCTCAGGTTTATTTAAAGTAATGCTGGAGTGGAAATGAGACAAATTTCAGGTGAATGAAGAAATCTTCTTACCTGAATACAAAAATCAAAGAGGTGTTCAACAACACATCAATAATAATACCATAAAACTAGTTGGTATGACCATGAAAATGTGGAAGGGAGTAATTGATAGACGGATACGAGGGGAGACGGAAATATCGGAAAATCAGTTTGGATTTATCTAAAGTAAATCAACAACAAAGCAATTTTCATTATAGGGTATCTGATGAAAAATATAAGTATAAAAAAATGGTCTTCTTTAATCTTTATAAAGCTTATAATAAAGTGCTTGATGATGTCGGTTAGGCAATGTTACTAGGAGATACTAAAAGGGGATTAGAACAAAAATAGAACATTGGAGAAAGCTACCGAAGAAAAAGGATTTAATCTTTTAAAAAGGACAAAAACAGAGCATCTAAAACATCATTTAAAGATGGAGTTACTACTACTACAAATAAGATGATAACTATGGGTGGTAAAATAATGATTGTAAAAACAGTTCTAGGTGTCGGTATTAAAAAGTATTAGTGAGATAGATTAAAACTCATGCAGTACAGTTAGAGCGAGATGGATGAAATGGAAAATGATGAAGTGGATGAAAAAGTAAAAATCATCGTAAGCCCACAAATCGATAAGCTACTTAATGATCATGAAGCTCGGAATCCAAGATCCAGCAGGAAAGAATAATTATTTTTAGACGATATGTTGTCGTGAAGGTAGATTTTTACCAAACAAATAAGAATAACTCTATAACCATGAAAATTGGAATAGGGAACCTGAGAACGTTATAGCATCAGGCAAATTGGATAACGCTGTATCGGAAATGTGCACATTGAAGATTACAATACAATGGCAGAATCATGAAAGTGTAACGTCAGGAATGGAAAAATGTATTATTCCGGTAACAACAACTCCATACACAGGCAGAGAGTTGGCATTATAGTTGATAACATTACTCAAAAGCCTGTCTGTAACTTTTTTCTCTACCCTTATCGAGTATTGACGCTGTCTTTCAACTCTCATTTAAAACATGGCAATGTCTTGAAGCTAACTAAAAGACATGATATAAATATTATAATGGGCCATTTAAACGCTGAAGTGGACCAAGGAGAAGTAAAGAATTGTGTGGGACCATATGGACTGGGAGGAGAATGAACGTGGAAATAGGGCACAAGATAATTGTTGTAGATTATACACCTGCAGGTCATCAAGTGCAGACCATAACAACAAAATGGTCAGAAATCAAGTAGATTATATTAACGTCAATAGAAGATATAGAAATTCTATCATATCAACCAAAACTATCCAAAAGCGGACATATCCTCTGATCACAACCCGATTGTGTTGTTGATAAGAGTGAATCTAAAGACTGTAAAGATCCTTACCTCCAAGAAAATCATGGATACAAGGAGGCTTAAAGAGAACAGAAGAACATAAGAAAAGTCAAAGAAGATAATACAGAAACTCTAACTATTGACCATAAATGGGAAAAAATTCAACATGCCCTTATGTGAGGTGGAAAACCGTTGGAAACTTCAAGCCTCTTACGACAGAAGAATACAGTAGATTACAGATACAGTAGATTTCCAAAGACATAAAAGAAGACATTAAATCAATGAACCAATTATATCCAATACTATTTAACGATGAAACAGGAGAACTGTCATTAGAAACCACAGAGGATACCGGACTACCAATATTAGTAGAGGAATTTTAGAGGAATAGTTTTTGACCAGATGATGTGCCTATCAAATTATTAAAACTCACCGATAAAGATGTTATTGATGTAATGGTTAAAGTCTTTAATCTAATACATGAGACTGCCACAACCTCCAGACCATGGCTGTAATTGACCTTGGTAGCAATTCTCAAAAAGTCGTAAGGACTTGAATTTCGAATTAGAAATAGTATATCCTTAAGAGATGTTTTGTTCGCTTTTAATGTTCTGGCCCAGTAATGCATGGACATGAATTAGCACATGTGCTTATGTTTTGTAGACTTTGAAAAGGCATTTGATAAGGTTCAACTAGAAAGCTTGTGGATAAAAAGCAGCAATAATAACATTAGTGATACAAAAAGACCGCTAACAATAATGATTTAGAGAACGTTATGCAACGCCTTAATGTATGCTCTCATGAATACGTGATAGAGATGAATTTGAAGAAAACTAAGTGATAGTCACTGATTCAGCAGATATAAACATCCAACTGGTTATTGAAGAAATTGTCACTGAGAGCGTGGATACCTACAAATACTTGGAAACATCGTTAATACCAAACGTAGACCAAAATAAAGAAATCAAGACCCGTATTGAGCTAGCGCGTACATCATTCATTAAATTTTAAAAGTTTCTATGTTGTAGGATTATAAGTTAGAGCTACGCCTAAAGATGCTTCTACGTGTTCTCTACTTTTCTTTGTAGTTTGGAAGCGTGGACACTAAAACAAGTGCATGTAAATAAGTTTGCTGCCTTATAAGGATAGAAAGTGAAACGGAAATAATATTAACTATCAAAAGACGCAAAACTTGAGTACTTGAGACATGAAATGAGAGGGCAAAAATATCCATCACTACATTTCATTAAGCAAGACAAAATTAGAGGAGAGCAAAATGTGGGAAGAATATCCTAGCTTAAGAACATGAGGGAATGGTTTAAATGCAGTAGTGTAAAACAATTTACAGAAATGGTCAATAAGGTGCACATAACCAGGATGATTTCCAACCTTCGATAAGATGGAACTTGAAGAAGAAGGATGAAATAGAAGAAGGCGATTGGTGTATTGTGTGATAGAAAGATTTTTTTAAATAGAAAGACAAACTATAAACATATTACATTATCACATGATTAGTATATAATATATACAGATGAATTGCTTAAGTTGAAATATAAGGCTGGTGATGTTACGTTTGTGGAAAGACACTAACCTTAAACACAAAAAACAATCAAAATGTGAATGAGATACAGAAGAATATTTCTAGAAAATACTACGAATAAAATAAGAACAGACTAAGAGCGAGAACATGCTTTAAAAATAATAGCAAAAATTAAAAATACGGAGATTGTAAGAAAAAGTTTGTAAAAAGAAGACACCTTTGGTAAATGGTCGAAGAGTATAAGTATCATATTAGAAAAAAATTAATCAGGATAAAAACATGCTGAAGAAACTAGAAGGGATCGTGTCTACACAACTTGTAAATCATGATGGTTATGACAATGATAAAGATGGTAGTGACGACGATGATGATTAATCATATACAATACCGCCGCATTTTATGTTTTAATCCATGACGTATAATCCTCTAATAATAAATATATTCCAACTTATATTACACTAATGGAAAAAGAACAATCATTTCTAAAAACCGACTATGGGTTTGGGATAACATCTGCCTGCTATACACAACATTATGATGGTGCACAAATCCGCAGATATCCCTTTCGCGTATCAAAAATCGTTTATAGACGATCAACCGATAAAACTAGACTAAAACAAAATTAAAAACTACAGTTACCTTTATTCTCTTATCGGAACCAGTCTTTTTGAGGGGTGGTGGTGTGTTGGCTTGCGCTTTGTCCACTTTACCCTGTGACAGTTTTCGGAGTGGAGGTGGCAGCCATTTCCGTCTGCAAAAAAAGAGAAAAAGTGAAAATAGAATCCTTTCAACTTTTGCATATACAAACAAGCTTTTAGTTGCAACTCGTTGGATTTTCTTTTGACAATTAAGCCTTTTAAATGAGCGTTCTATGTAAACCGATTTCAGGAAAATGTATACACGGTCCAAATGAGCTTTTGGTTTAAATTTTAGGATTTTTAAACGAACTACAAGCATTTTAACGAGTTGTAGGTTTTAATAAAATATATTAAATTTTTCTGGTCATAGTTTATGTTGGAGATAACAAATTTAATATTTTCGCTTACACTTAATGAATATTCCTAAATAAATTTTAATAATATACTTAAAGTAAAAACTCACAGTTTTGAGATAGACTGTGTATTTTAAAACACCTGCTTTTTATGTCTTTCGCATTATTTTCATTCTATAGCAGAATGGTATTTAATAATATTCCACCTGAACTTAACAAATGATGCAAATAATATACCACGCCAACTACCAGAGAGATAGAGGAAGTTGCCTAAAGCCGGCTCCTACTTTATTTTTAAATTTTAAAAAATTCAAATTTGAAAAAAAAATATTTTTTAATATGTATCTTACTATGTTTTACATAGGTGTCTATTTTATTTATATTTTTTTATAAACTTTTGTAGACGTAAATTTTTTTTCTTGAACATTGCATTTTTGTGAATTTGAGAAATGTTTCCTAATGTGGGCCCCTAAAAAAATTAGAGAATATTTTAGGAAAAATAAAACACCAACAATTTAAATAAACAAAATTGTAATTTTACATAGAAAATATAATAGTTTTCTGTGGCAAAAAGATTCTTTGTCTAATGCCATCTCTCTCTCTCTCTCTCACAGACACAAAAAATATAATAACTGACACTCAAGTGCGACAATAATCGCATATATAGTCTTTTTCTGCTCCTGCACACTCAACGTGAGCCCAGAGGGAACACATAAGGCATTTAACCCAACGCTCTCCTTTACAGTCATCTGAAAATTGAACACAACAAAACAAACATTCCGCTTCCTCTTAAGCCATGACTAAAGATACACCTGGTGGAATTTCTAACTCAGAAGAACTTGAGGATATGGTGTCGCCCGAGTGTTCTCCGGAGCTAGATTCTCCTTGAACTTAAGACTTTTCTTAGCTTTCTCTTTTCTTTGCAACGGGAGACATTTTGAACCACGACCTTTACCACGTGCCGGTTGTTTAATGGCCTCAGCTACTGCCTCCTCTCTAATTGTTGCAGCCTCTTCTAATTGCGATTTGTAAGGAAAATAAGTTATAAGTGCTGAACTGGTTGCTTTATCTCCTCTAGTAGAAGCTGTTTTCTTGATTTTCGGTATAGGGTTGATAGGAAATGGGCTTGCATGGAAAGAATTTTGCTGTATTCCATGTTCATTCTGAGGTTGGCTCTGGGTAGAATTTTGTTTATCCGAGGATGACAGGTTAGCTTGACAGGATGTAGATGACTTTGGCGGAACAACTAAATCAGATGCTCTTGATGTTGATGACACCAGGACCATTCAACTCGGATGCTCTTGATATTGATGGTACAGCCAAGTCAACTTTAACACCATTAAATTCAGTTTCACTGGGATTTAATTCTCTTTGCTCGTCTAGTTCCTGAGAAATGGTAGAATTTGGAGCAAGATTATTACGTGCCTCCACAATGTATTCAGATTCTGTGAACATGTTTAGGTTAATAGGAAAAATTCCAGTAACTCTGAAGCCATTGATGGCTATCTTAGTCTTCTGACATTTAATGTAGGCTCTCTTAAAAAGCTCTATTACAGCATAAGCACTAACAGACCGATTACTATGTCGTAACCATTGTCGAATTTCTTCGCTGTACATGGCTTTTACAGGTCCCATGAATGTCCTGTCAAGTGGTTGTAGTTGGTGTGATAAATGAGGCGGCAGTAATACAATTATAAAACATAGTTTTGTCTGGCCAAATCGATGTCAATATTTTCGGTGTGACTGAAATGTCCGTCTAAGATGAAAAGGACAGGATTATCTTTCAAAGGTTTTACAAATGCTATAAAGTGTATGTGTAAAGTGCTTGTATACATCCTGGGGGATGTGCTGCAAATATGGTTCCCGGTGGAGCCTCTTTTTTCAGTTGATCGCTCAAATTCTTACTTGGAAAAATGACTAACAGGGGAACGAAGAATCCAGATGCATTCATACAGGCAACTATTGTAAAGAGAGATCCACGCTTAGCAGATGTCAGAGCAGCAACTTGAATTTTTCCACGCAAAGTAATTACTTTAGCCACTTTTGACTGTATGGTAGATATACCACTTTCATCTACAATGAAAATTCTATCAGGGGTAAATTTTTCTTTCTTATAAACCTCTTCTAGAAGATTAAAAGATCTATCGGTATTTTCTTTAATGAATCCTAAAGATCTTGCAAAGGACGTGCCAGTTGGTTTTCGTTCTGATAACTTCTTTTTGTGGCGTATTAAAAAAAGACTTGCCCATTTTTTCCCAGCCATTTCATGTTTGAAAGGGTGCTGAACGTGATTCCTTTCAGCTAATTGTACAGCCATTCTTCGTAAATCATACATAGAAAATCGAAAAGATGTATTAAATTAATTACTTCTTGAATTGATGGGTCAAGATTATCAATACCGCTCCAAATTCATCCTGATAAACACACAACTGCCAATTTGGCTTCCACAAATCAATACATTTTGAAAAAAAAAAAAACTAAAAATATTTCTAATGCAACAGTTTTTAATTTCAGTAATTTTCTAAACACTATAATCTTAACATTAATTCAATGCAATGTAACTGTTCCATCAACATCTTTTTTTTTTGGACATTTAACTGTTTTTCGTACAAGTCTTTCTGGTCGTGAGAAAAAAAATACGATCTGTTACTCCGTTAGTACGAAAATTAAAAGTTATAAAATAACGAAAGGTTACTAATCTCTCGATAAAACCAGAAATTGTAAAAACAATATTTATTTAATAAAATCCAGGACGCGTGTCGACATAACTGTCATCATCAGCTTTATAAAATCGTACTCTTGTAAATTCATATGAACTACTCCACTTCTATATGGCCTATCTAAGATCTACAAACAAAACTTTCCATTAAGACCTGTTAGCCAAACAGCATAATTTTTTAATATTAACATCAAACTTCTTACCAAGAAAACTCCTTGCTAAGAAAGTTGGTAACGCTTTGTGTCCTTAAGACCCTTATCCTCCAAGAATTTCTTTAATGAATTCTTTGCCTTTTTCAATTTACGATACACACATTTCCTAAATCCATTTACGTTACATACTACTGTTATTTCTCTAGCCAAATGTCGTGTTTCTAAAAAAATAAAGTCCCGTTGACTCAAAATGAGTCAGCGAAGAACTAACTCGAGACCAGTTCATTTTCGTCTCAGTTCTTGCACAAGAAGGCCCAACTTGGCTGAGAAGTGTATTTACTCATATTATCTATTTTGCAACTGTCCCTCTAATGTAAATTATCTATTATTATTATAGACTTTGATGTTAATTCTGTTTGCCGTTATTTCTGCTACCACAACCCATTGTCGCTGTGATTAGGATTACCTGTCGCCTAAAGAGGATCGTATTGTATTTCTAATTGCTATAGTTGGTTATCGAGTGCTGTTCCCAGTGTCTATTTGCAGTTCAAAGACTGACTCTATCTACCTGAACTCGCCACGTGCCTTATGTATTGTAAGTACCTTGACGTTTTCTCTCAATCAAACCAAACCAAAAAGCCGCAGGTTTTATAATCAAAACATTAGGTACCGTTTCTTCTTTTTAAGGTGCCTGTCCGTTCCGAACGTTGGGGATCATTCTGGTTATGATGACTTTGTTGATTGCTATACGAAATAGCTGTGTTGAGGTCTTTCTATACCATACTCTCAGGTTAGCAAGCCAGGATATTCTTCTTCGTCCTGGGGCCCTTTTTCCTTCAATTTAACATTGTAAAATGCATTGAAGTAGCTGCTGAACTAACTGAAGTAGATGGCTCGTATCTGCCTTAATTTTTTATTATATGGCCCAAGTACTGCAGTTTACGGCCCTTCCTGATGTTGACCAAATCCGCAGTTGTGTTCATCCTCCGCAGTACTTCTTCGTTGGTGACTTTGTCTGTCCATGGTATCTTCAAGGTCCTTCTGTATGACCATAGCTCAAAAGCCTGAAGTTTTGATAGAGTTTCCGCCTTCAATGTATATGTTTCTACTCCGTACAGAAGAATTGAATACATATAACAATTTAAGGAGCCTTATTTTTGTTTCTAGGGTGAGGTCATGGCTCTTGAACACAGAACTCATAGTCAAGAATGCACTCTTTGCCTTTCCGATGAGACAATTAATCTCTTGGGTATCGTCCCACGACTCATTGATTATAGTTCCCAAGTAGTTGTATTGTGAGAATCGTTCAATTCTCATTTGGTTCAGATACAGATTTGCTCCAGTTATGTTTTGCTTGCTGATGATCATTAGCATGGTTTTGCTGGTGTTTATATACAGTCCATATATTCTACTTGTTTCCATTATTTTGTTCATTAAGTTTTGCAGCCCTTTTATGGTATTCGAAAACACTATTGTATCATCTGCATACCGCAGGTTATTGCCGTTTGCCTGTTTAAAATAATAAGAGTTCGTTTTTCATTCGTTTTAAAAGTATTTCGTTCAGAACGTATTTCCGTCTAAATGCCCCCAGAGGCTGTAATTGATACAAATTCAGTGATTTTTACCACATACATAGGTATAGCATATTTTCCCTTTTTGACGGATGGAAAATTAATAGTAATTTATGGTGATAGTTCCCTAAGAAATCTGTTAAGATGATATTTGCTGAATATACGTATGATATATATTTGTCGTATTTACTAGCAATTATAAGATTTAGTATACAACGGAATGATCATTAGGTTTAATTATTACTCATTTTCAAGTATATTTTAAAAGAATTTTGATATTAAAACATTGACATAATCGAAGTCCGAAAAATATTTTTTACCTTCATAAGTTTATTATTAAATACGTGAATCTAAATTTTTTTGTTGCCCAGCATTTCTATTTTGACATTAGGCCGATACTAATCGTGTTTTTTTTTAATAATAACTTTTCTAACTTGGTTCATTGAAATAATTTTTTGTTAAGCATATAATGAATTTTGCACAGTGTCTAATTAATTTGAAGTAACCAAATACATTAGTTGTAA